CCAAAACATTCGAATGAAGATCTAGAAAAATTCTGGTATCATTCGAACAAGACAGTCGATAAAAATTTCGCAGGGAGTCGTAAAAACAAACAATCGCCAAGTTGTCCCAATTTCGTCTTTGGAATCGCGTCCAATTAAAAAGCAGCCGCAAACGATCGAGGAATCGGAGGAACGGATAGAATGAAGGCACACGGAAAAAAAGCTGTAAACGAGCCGTAAAAACGCAGCCCGGTGGAATCGTTGCGGAACAACTTCAAAACGTTTACACACACGGTCGCGTTGTTATGCCACCGATGGGAACGAAATAATGTTGCTCTTTGAGCGTAAGTCCCTGTTTGCGCTAGGACTGTACAGATACGTTTCAACGAAACCATTTCCAGGGCTGGGGAAAAAAAAAGAATAAAAGCCTCGGCTTCGCCGAAAGCTCCATTTCTCTCCGTTGAACCGTACTGTAAAAAAGGGATTTACTTCCAGATCAGTTATTGCGCTTCATCCGGTATATTATATCGGATAAGCCGCGTGGCTTCCGTCTCTGCATCTGACTTCTGGCCCCCGTGTGTACATACGTGTACCGCGGTGTTCAACAACTTACTACGTTCAACATGGTAACGCTTTCTTTGAACGAGCACGTGTTTCACTATTTTTACTCTTTTTTATTTTCATGCTCGTGATTTTGATGTTTTCAAATTTTTTTCGGGTCATTTTCATCTTCTGGGCTCAGAGTTATGATTCTGTAGAGACCTAGATTTTTAGGTTAGCTTCCACATTTTTAAAATTTTTTAGTTTTCAAATTTGTTAATCTGCAAGTTTGTAGATTTTTGTGTATTCTAATTCGAAATTTTTTTGTCTATTTTCTACAACTCTATGTCTCTATGTCTCCTAGGTTTCACATTCCCAGCTTTTCAAATTCATCTGCAGCCCTTAAAAATTCAGTAAAACAAACATAAATATTAAAACAGCTACCAAGTATTCAAAAAATTGAAACGGAGAATTTGCTAATTGAAAAAGAACTCGGTGTACATTTCCGTGTACGTGTAATACCGATCTCACATATTTCATAATCCAGCCGATTCTTCTTTTATTTTTTGACTTGTATACAGATAGAAATATAGTCGTCGCATCGATGGAAGGATGAAAATTGAAGCGATCGAAAGAATAAAACCTGCGAACGACTGCGAGGCTCGCTTTGACAAAAATGTCGGTGCAAAAGTTAAAACGAGCGAACGAGAACCAATTGAGTTTCTAGCGAGATTGGTTGCCGAGAGATAAAATTCAGCGTGAATAATAATGCAGATTGTTTGACATCGCGGACGTTTAGAACGGCTAAATAAACCGTGGAATAATTTTCGCCTCGAATAACGCCGAACAATTTGCATGCTACACGAATGAATTGAGTTATACGATTTTCAATACTATTTTAATAAATTCCGTCCTCTTTTTTTTCTACTTTATAAATCCGTTTGAACATTTTCGATGTTCTATGAAATTTTTGCTTTTGGAATGTGCGGAGGAAGGACTATTTTATTTCGGAGAAATCGATGGATTTTTTTGTGAATTTTCGTGTTCTGAAATAATGAGAAATAATTTTTGGACAAATTGGTCATGGGGAAATATTTTCAGGCATTTACTTTGATTTATTATACATTAAGTGAATAATTGGATTCTTTTTAAAGTTAAGACATTTGAAGAGATTATGTAGCTTATGAGACAATAATTTTTACTGTATTTTCATTTTAAATAGAACAAACAATTTAATTGCTTTTTAACCTAAAGAAGTTCCTGAAGAGGTTATGTTGATCATGAGACAGTTATATTTACTTTATTAATTATTTTAAATAGAATAATTTAATTGCTTTTTAACCTAAAGAAGTTCCTGAAGAGGTTATGTTGACCATGAAACAGTAATATTTACTGTATTAATTATTTTAAATAGAATAAACAAATTCTTTTTTAACCTAAAGAAGTTGAAGAGGTTATGTAGCTTATGAGACAATAATTTTTACTGTATTAATCATTTTAAATAGAACAAACAGTTTAATTCTTTTTTAACCTAAAGAAGTTTCTGAAGAGGTTATGTTGACCATGAAACAGTAATATTTACTGTATTAATTATTTTAAATAGAATAAACAAATTCTTTTTTAACCTAAAGAAGTTGAAGAGATTATGTAGCTTATGAGACAATAATTTTTACTGTATTAATCATTTTAAATAGAACAAACAATTTAATTCTTTTTTAACCTAAAGAAGTTCCTGAAGAGGTTATGTTGTCCATGAAACAGTAATATTTACTGTATTAATTATTTTAAATAGAATAAACAAATTCTTCTTTAACCTAAAGAAATTCCTGAAGAGGTTATGTTTTGTACAGTAATTTCAAGTCTAATAATCACTTAAAATAAACAGAAAGAAAAGTACTCTTCCTAACCTAAAAATCATTCCTGAAGATAAAAGGAGTAATGTAAGAAACTTCCTATTTAAGAGTAGAAAGAAAAATTAAAAGGGTTGATAGAAGTTTTATGAGGATCGAAGCCATACGACACTTTGGCGGATACAGAAACGACGGGACATCGATAGCAGCGGATAAACGCCTCTCCCGTCACCGGGATATCGTTTCCGACTCCCATCGGGCTTGAAACGAATCTTTCGTAATTGGATTTACATGACGCGAATTACGATAACGAAATCTTCGGGAGCCGATTCGACGGATCTGCTCCAGATGTTACCCCGCGGTTGTGACAATGACGTTATCGACTTTCGGCTTGTACGCCCGCCGCATCCGTTGAAAGGAAGTTTTCCTTCGACGGATAATTCGATAGCCGGCGAAATGTCGGATATTTGCTCTGTGATAACGGCGCACACACGTTTGCATAACGAAATGAACAAAAATCGATCTTACGTGTCTTACGGATTACGCGGTACTTTTTTTAGGTTAGAAAGTATATCTCAAGTTTTTAGGTTAGGAAATTTTCATTTTCTTAGGTTAGTATTTATTTTTTTAGGTTAGAAAGTATTCATTTTTTTAGGTTAGAAAGTGTTTATTTTTAGTGTAGTTATATTTGTGGTTATTTAAAGATGAGTGTAGTTAAAATTAGTGACATGAGCAACTTGCATAAGTAATTAATATTGTTGGAATATTAATGCTCCCAAAATTCCCAACTCTTCAAATCCCAAAATTCCAAGTCTTCAAATCCCAAAATTTCCAACTCTCCAAATCCCAGAATCCTCAAATTCTCAAACCCCAAAATCCCCATCTCTCTAAATCCCAAAATCCTCAAATTCTCAAACCCCAAAATCCCCATGTCTCCAAATCCCAAAACCCTCACAAGCTCAAACCTCAAAATTCCCAACTCTTCAAATCCCCAAATTCTCAACTTTCCAAATCCCAAAATCCCCATCTCTCCAAATCCCAAAATCCTCAAATTCTCAAACCCCAAAATCCCCATCTCCCCAAATCCCAGAATCCTCACAAGTTCAAACTCCAAAATTCCCAACTCTTCAAATCCCCAAATTCTCAACTTTCCAAATCCCAAAATCCCCATCTCTCCAAATCCCAAAATCCTCAAATTCTCAAACCCCAAAATCCCCATCTCCCCAAATCCCAGAATCCTCACAAGTTCAAACTCCAAAATTCCCAACTCTTCAAATCCCCAAATTCTCAACTTTCCAAATCCCAAAATCCCCATCTCTCCAAATCCCAGAATCCTCAAATTCTCAAACCCCAAAATCCCCATCTCTCCAAATCCTAAAATCCTCAAATTCTCAAATCCCAAAACCCTCAAAACCCCAAACCCCAAAATCCCCATCTCTCCAAATCTCAGAATCCCAAAATTCTCAAATCCCAAAACCCTCAAAACCCCAAACCTAAATATCCCAATATTCCCCAAAAATCCCTAAATCATCAACTAAACCTCCGACCCAATATAAAATCAGATCTACCCTATCTTCCATGTGTAAAACTTTGATAAGATTCTCAAAAATCATATATGACTTCCCTCGCTTCTTTTACATCCCATGCATCGTATTTTACTTTTTTCCTAAATCTTCTTCGGTTAGAGAAGGTTTTTGAGACGACTCTATCCATCAACGTCCTACTTCGTCTGTGTTTGTTTTATTTAATCTATACGCAGCCTTGTTTAGCTTTCCGCTGTGTTTTACCGCAACCACGATCAATCTCTTCGTGGTAGCCGCAAGACTGATGAAAATGGATCTTCCTTTCGCTCTGCTCTCGTTTAAGATTCTACATATTCTTTTTTTTATACGGAATGCATCAAACTCGATTTTCTTAGATTCTGATTTAATGTGTTGAGTTGTTGTATTTAAAAAAATGAATTATTTATTTTTTGTTCTGTTGATTCTTCATGGTATTATTGTTGTGTTGATAGTATATTATATAGGATTAATTAAAATTAGTTAATTAAAGTTGATTATGTATTATGTTTATAATTTATACTATTAACATATTAATTAAAAATGTTCTACAAGTGATACAAGTTTTACAAGTAATAAATAATTCATTTGTATTAATTATGTATGACATGTTAGTAGAAAATTAATATATTCTAACAATATTTTTAATCTTTTTGCTATTTAGCATATATAACAATACAAATTAATTAGTAAAAGTGTAGCAACAATTATAGAATGCCTTAATGTTTCATACATACATGGCACAACATATCAATGCTTCATATATGTATATTAGAAAATATTAATGTTTGACAACATATCAAAATACGAAATTTTTCCTCAAATTTCAAGCAACAAATTTACATCAATATAATATAACTCTAACTATATTCCCTTCGCAAAATCATATCAAACTACCAACGTCCAAATCATCGCTGTAATAGAGAAGCAACCATTTTGTGTTTCCTATAATGAAACCCAGTCACTGTTTGTACATTTCGAACAACGTTGTTCCAGCAATGTTACAGGATTACGAATCTCATGTTACGTAACATGTTGGCCCGCTAATATGGTGTTTAACTTTATGTTGCAGGTGTTCTCCCATGTAGATATACTGTTTAGTATAGGAGGTAAATACTACACGGGAGAACCTATCACGTATACCTACATGGAAGACAAAATTTTCGAGTCATCGCGGAATATCACTATCAAGCTCCATCATCGAGTTGGCAAGTACGTGAAATTGAGACTTCACTTCTCGGCCCGGTGGCTTATGATCAGCGAAGTGACTTTCGATTCTGGTGAGTGGACAGAACTTTCTTAAAAATTGTTTTATATGAAACCTCTTTTTGAAACGTCCTATACGTTTTTAGTTAAAACGGGTGTTCAGTGTGTATTCACTTAAATAATTATACAATATGTGTACACTTAAATGGACATACAATATGTACGTACTTAAACGAACATACAATACGTACGTACTTAAATGAACATACAATACGTACACACTTAAATGAACACACAATACGTATGCATTTAAAATAATTAATTTAACATTTACTTAAAATGAATATGCAACACGTAACAATTTAAACGAGTACACAAGACATATACAGTTAAAGCGAACATGCAACATGTATCCACTTAAATGAATATACAATACGTATTCATTCAAAATAAGTACGCAACATGTATCCACTTAAATAAATATACAATACATAGGCAGTTAAAATAAATATGCAACACGTATCCACTTGAAGGAGAATACAAAACGCATTCATTTAAAATAAATATGCGAGTCGTATCTTCTTAATTAAATATCCAATACTTCGCTTAAATACAGAGTGTCTCACAACTAGTGGTCCCTGAAATGGGGGGTAGCTGACGCGATTCTGAAGGTGGTAGAGGACGTCATTCTGAACAAGATTTTCCTTTGCGAAAATGGGGTTTGAAGCTTCGTTTTTGAATTATTAAGGAAAAACACGGACCAATCGCAGCGCGAGGATTATAACGCGTTGGACTACTACGCGTCGGATATCCACGCGTTGGATTACTACGCGTTGGATATCCACATGCTGGATTACTACGCGTTAGATTACCACGCATTAGATTCCTACGCTTAGAATTACCACGCGTTGCATTATTACGCGTTGGATTACTACTACGCGTAGAATATGCACGCGCTAGATTACTACGCGTTGGATATCCACACGCTGTATTAGTACGCGTTGGATCACTACGCATTGGATTACTACGCGTAGGATTACTACGTGTTGCATTAC